TGTGTATGTGTGAGTGCTGCAGTCCCCGGTAACTTGTGCAGTCCATCTTTACCCCCTGCTGTACCCAGTAACATTCGGTGTGTGTATGTGTGAGTACCCCTTGCTGTACCCAGTAACATTCGGTGTGGGTATGTGTGAATGTTGCAGTTCCCAGCAACTTGTGCAGTCCACCTTTACCCGTGGCTGTACCCGATGACATTCGGAGTATGTGCGTGTGTGTGTGTGTGTGGGCTGTAGTTCGGTCCCTTCCCCATTTTTGCTTTGACCGGTGACTTCCGAAAATGATATGGGGCAGCCAGGCACCCGAAGTAGGAAACGGAGGCACGGGGCTAGGAGTTAGGATACGTCCAACGGGCCTTCTTTCACGTTCATCCCCCATAGCCGGACCACCCCAACCCTTCTCCCTCCTCCATCACTCACACCCGTCCACCATAGCCGATCGCCCCCAACCCTCCTTCCTCCTCCATCACCCACAACCGTCCACCATAGCCAACCACCCCCAACCCTTCTTCTTCCTCCATCCCCCACACCCGTCCACCATAGCCAACCACCTCCAACCCTTCTTCCTCCTCCATCACCCACACCCGTCCACCATAGCCGACCATCCCCAACCCTCCTTCCTCCTCCGTCGCCCACACCCGTCCACCATAATCAACCACCCCCAACCCTTCTTCTTCCTCCATCCCCCACCCCCGTCCACAATAGCCAACCACTTCCAACCCTTCTTCCTCCTCCATCACCCGCACCCGTCCACCATAGCCAACCACCCCCAACCCTCCTTCTTCCTCCATCCCCCACACCCGTCCACCATAGCCAACCACCTCCAACCCTCGTTCCTCCTCCTCACCCACACCCGTCCACCATAGCCGACCACCCCCAACCCTTCTTCCTCCTCCATCATCCACGCCCGTCCACCATAGCCGACCACCTCCAACCCTTCTTCCTCCTCCGTGACCCACACCCGTCCACCATACCCGACCACCTCCAACCCTTTTTCCTCCTCCATCCCTCACACTCGTCCACCATAGCCGACCACCCCCAACCCTTCTTCCTCCTCCATCA